GGGGTCATGTTCTTCGGGCGGGAGCCTTTCCCCTCCATGGGTGCGGTGAAGGGGGGCGGTGGTTGGTAGGGCGGCGCGTTGGGGTCCTCGTCCCGCAGCGGCGTGTACTCCCCGATGGTGTCCTGGTTGAGCGGCGTGGTCTCCGGCATGCTCTGGTTTGGGTACTCCGGAGGGGGCAGAGGGGCTTTCTCCTCCTGGAGGATGAGGGGCATGCTGGAGGACGGCGGAGGTTTGGAGTCGTCCAGCTCGTCGGCGAAGATGATGGGGACGCCTTTCTTGATGAAGGTGGCCTGGTCTTCGATGGTCAGCTTCCCTTTCCTCTTCTTGCGGTAACAGATCATGGCGATGATGCCGGCCACCAGGAGGATGGCGGCCACCACCACGGCGGGGATGACGGTGTGCAGGTACACGTCGTCCTCGCTGCTTTTCTCGGGGTCTTTGCCCGCCGCCACCGTCGGCGTCGCCTCCGAGATCACCCGCCCGTCCTTCGTCACGGGGATGAACTGGATGTGCCTGCAGCTGCCGGAGCCGACCACCGACACGTTCAGAGGCTTGAATTCGGGCTGCAAGACGTTGGACAAAGCCGGGCTGGGCCCGCCAGAGTCGTCCGCGATTTTTCTGCTCAAAGTCCGGATCTGCTCCCGGGGACAGGGCTCCAGGGGCAGCGTGTTGTTCGTCCACTCCACCACGATGGAGCCTTTGGCGATGTCCTGCACCGTGATGGTGCTGCTGTTCCTGTCGCCGAAGGCCAGCGCCAGCTTCTTCACCAGCATGATCTTCTTATTGATGTCGTTCACCACCGCGTTGTGGTCCCCTTCCAGCCTGGCCTTGAACTTCACCGGCGACTTGTCCCCGTGCGGGCGTTTGTGGACGTGGATCTCGAAAGCGTCCACGGCGAACAGCCCGCCTTTGTCCGTGGCGTACATGAAGTACTCGTGCTTCCCGATGTGGTTGTGGTCCGGCATGCCGTACATCAGCTGGCTGGTGCTGTTGAACTGCACCCACGAGTTCTCCTCGATCATCTGCTGCTCCTTCAGCTTCAGCGTGAGCTGCAGCTTGTCCGTGGTGGTGTCTTCCTTGTCGTAGAAGGTATCCGACGGGATTTTGACCTCGAAGTAGGTGCCCTCCCAAGCGTCGACCCTGTCGATGTGGTTCGTCAGCTTGGGAGGCTCGTTTGGCTCCCAGGGCCGGGGGATCCCGCTGGCCGTGGTACGGACGCGGGTTGGCGGGGAGGCCGTGGTCAGTTTGGAGATGGAGGATCTGGTCGTGCTGGGAGGCTTGGTGGGACGGGGCGTTTTGGGTCTTCGAGTCGGCCTGCGCGTCGTCGCTGTGGAGGAATCCGTCGTGGACGGCGTGGCTGGCTTCAAAGTGGAGACCCTGGGTTTCTTGGTGGTGGTTGGGGTGGGCGTCATCCCCGCCGTGGGCTCCACGTACCCAGGCATCGTGGGGCGAATGGGCACGGAGGCCGTGCCGGCGCCTTCTGCTACCCTGGTGGGCTGGATCGGCCCCAAAGTGGGAGTCTGGACGATGGGACCCCTGGTTCTGATGGTGACCGTAGGCTTCCTCGGCAGGGGAATGGGCTCGCGCACGGGGGGCGCCGTCGTCTCCGTGGGAGGCGCGATGGCCGGCGACGTCGGGGTGGGGACGATCCTGGTGGGTGGCTCTTGCGCGGCGGTGGTGGGCGGCCCGACGGCGGTCAGAGGCGTGGGGGTGGCGTTGATCTGCCGCCGCATCCTCTTTGGGAGGTGAGGTTTCTTGTTTGCGATGTGCCAGCCGACGACGGGGTAGCCGAGGCGGGCAGACATGGTGCCTTCCTTGGCTGGAGCCTCTACCTTGCTGATGTTGGGGACGCTGTTTTGGCTCAGGGAACACCCCAGTTTCCACGAGAGTAAGGCCCCGTTTTCCACCACCTTCTTGGCGTTTCCCGGTCCGGCCATGAAGGCCGACATGTCAAAGAGTCTGTTATTTACAACAGGAACCAACTTCATGTGATGAAGTTCTACCTCCGAGAAGCTTCTCATTCTGCTTAAAAGTTCAATCCTCTGCTTTGGTGTCATTTTTGTTAAGTCAGCATCCAAAATGACAGTCAGGATGGTGACCGGCTCCTCCGAGCCGCACACCAAGTTTTTTTTTAGTCCCCCGCGTCCTGGACGGCCGCTCGCACTGACTGAGGCTCGTTGTGGTCTTCTTGGTGGACTTCAACGGAGAAGACGTTGGCGCTCTGGGGCACGTAGCTCCCGTTGGGGAAGGGCTGCAGCGTGGTCACCGAGATGTAGTGGACGCCCTTGTCGGGGTCGAGGGGCAGCCCTTCCAGGGAGCCGCTCTCCGCGTTCCAGTGTAACCAAGAAGGCAAGGAGTCCTTGCCAGCTTCAGAGATCTACCAGATAAAAGAGAGGAAAGGTGCTTTTAGATGTGGGGCACGAGCAGGGGTTCTTAGCAGCGGTAACGCTTCGTTTAAAGGATTAAAGGGGAAAAATATCTGAAGCCTAATGAATAGGGAAGGAACATCCTGGCCAGAGCGGGGCAGCTCGTGTCGTCTTCTCTGCGTGGCAGCAAGTACAGGCGCCGGTCCCAAAGGGTTTAAGGAGCCATAGGAGGTCACCGGGTCCTGAAAAGGTCCCTCTCTAGTGCTGGCTGTGACACGGCCTAATACAAGCGGCTCGTTTCCCAAGGCAGGAGGGGAGCTCAAGTCACGGGGACAGCTACGAAGCTGAAGGTGAGCCCAGAGTAAGCTTAAAAGGAAGGGTTTTGCTTTGGTACAACGACTGCAGGCTAGAAACAACAACAGGCGAATTGGCCCAGACCACAGGCACCTCGGGACTCCAAGGCACTATTTGCTACCTCTTCTAGCTCAACAGCAGCAGGTTTTTTCATTGTTTTACTTCCCGGTTGCGGCACAGAGCAGTGAAGCGCAGTCCAAAAGCCTTCCCTTTAAACCACGCAGCCCAAACGCCGCGGCGACACACGCAGTGATGGTGTTTCCATAGGCTCCGGAGGAGGAGTCCACCAGTGGTAACCTCACCAGCTCCCTTTGCCTCCCCGTTTGTCTACTTGTGCCTTTCCGAGCCCACCTTTGTCTCCTGCCCTCCCCTTCCCACCCAGGCCTACGCAGCCCCTGGACATTTTGAAGATCCCAGTTCTCTCCAAATTGTCAGACAAGGAGACTCCACAACCTCTCTGGGCAGCCTGGGCCATGCTCCA